AATGGACTTGCAAACTTGGTTTCTATGATAATGTAGTTGCTAATGAAATCAAGGGAAACTATCATATCATGGTCTCATGGAATCATTGCATTTTTTCGATTTATGTTCCGAATGTTAGCGAATAGATGATTATTGTGAAGCTACTCGTCTAGATAATGGCTCTACCTTAACAGTTTTGGAGGTCTATGCCTTCAATTCAGTGGGGCCAAGAGCTCAGCTTTGGGAGATAAGGGATACTTGTGCTTCCACTATTTGGGGCTGGCTAGTTTTGGGGGATTTCAATACTTTTTTGGATGCTTCAAAAGAGTTGGGAGGTTGTGACTCTTTAGCTCAACATTCAGGTGATTTTGCTCATATTTTTGGCTAATTGTGCTTCGACCAATTTGGGATCTACCAAGGGGTGGTTCTCATGGTCTAATAGTCAGATGAATGAAGATGTATTCGGGAAGGCCTAGACCGTGCCCTAGCCCAACATGGAGTGGGTTTTTTCCTATCCAAATTCAAAGATGGAACTTTTTCCCAAAGGTAATTTTGACCGTTGCTCTCTTCTTATCTCTCTCGAATTTACCTCCAACAGGTCCAAAACCGTTCAAGTATTTCACTGTGGCAAAATTTTCCAAGTTTTATGGACATCATATCTGAATCTTGGAAACATAGCGTGGGGGGCACACCCATGTTTAGATTAGTTACAAAATTAAAGAGGTTACAGAAGGATCTTCCAGTTCCTTTGGGCACGTTGGAGAAAGATCCTTGCTGTTCGTCAACAATTTTCCATACTCCATGATAATCTAAGACAAGACCCGTCCAATGAGTCCCTTAGGATGGAGGAGAAGAGTGTTCCAGTAATTTAGAGCAATTGTTGTTGCATGAGGAGAGTTTGCGGAGACAAAAGTCACGACAAAACTGGTTATGGGATGGTGACTCCAACACGAAATTCTTTCATCTTTCAACTATTGTAAGAAGGAGAAATGATAGGATCACTTTACTAAAAGGACCAAAATGGGATTTCTATTACCAATGAGGAGCAAATTGAGGATCATATGATAGGATTTTTTGAGTATCTTTTAGCAAAAGAGAGTGATATCGATCTGCAACTGGTGGACCATTTTCCACCTCCTTCTTAGCTTAACTCAAATCAGCAAAGGCAACTTATTGAGGGTGTTTCCTTAGATGAGATTAAAGCCTGTATATGGGATATGAACATTGAGGGTGCCCCTGTCCAGATGGTTTCACAATGGAGTTCTATAAGTTCACTTGGGAGGTTATCAAGAAAGACTTATTCGCAACCCTACATGACTTCTTTAAGAGAGGTAAGTTCCTCAAACAAATTAACTCCACTTTTATTTATCTTATCCCCAAAGTTAATTCCCCAAGTGTTATGAAGGACTTCTAACCAATTGGTCTATGCAATGTTCTTTACTATTATTAGCAAACACATTTCAAATCGATTAAAGGTGATCCTGGATCCCCTTGTAGATCTTAGGCAGGCAGCATTTCTAAAGGGTAGGCTAATTACTGACATATTCTGATGGCAAATGAACTTATCCCTCTATGTCATAAGAATTATGCGAAACCCAGAATGTGCTAGCCATTAGATTTAAGCAATGCTTATGACCAGGTGACTTGGGAATTTGTCTTTGCTAGACTGTGATCTTTGGGTTTTCCTGCATTGTTTATTTCTCGAGTTTGTCTCTACATTACCACCCCGTCCTTTTCGGTGTTACCAAATGTGGGTAAAAGAGGTTTTTGACAAGGGGACCCTTATCTCCTTATCTATTTATATTTATGGATTTCCTTAGTAGACAGCTGGATCATGCAGTGAACCAAGGTTTAATCCCTATGGCTTTCCCTTTTGGATGTGATTATAGGATTTCTCATCTCTTTTATGCTGATGATGCGGTTTTTTTTTGTAAAGTCTCTCGGAAAGTGGTTAGTGGTATGACTGTTGTCCTATATGTTCTTGAGAAAACCACAGGACAGAAACTCAATGTTGCAAAGAGTAAAGTCTTTTCCTTCAGGATGGCTCACTGTTCTAAGCAAATGATTTTGCGGTATCGGTGAGGGATCTCTTCCAGTTAAAGATTTGGGACTGCCTCTCTTTCATGGTAATTTGAAACATAATCATTGCCATAATATAGTTGGTAAGGTTATTGGTAAGATTAGGTCGTGGCAAGCTTTATCAGTCTTATGCATGCCAGTTACAGCTGTTAAAATCATTTAGTTTTTTCGTCGGCTATCTTTTGGATTATGTCTTATTATCTTACCCAAGCGTAGTGGTAATATGGTGGAAAGACTTCAACATAATTTTTTATGGGCAGGTACGACTAAGAAGAAGGGAATTCATTTGATCAAGTGGAAATCTGTATGCCTTACTCTCGAGGAAGGGTGGCTTGGGATTTGTGGTGTCTCAGAGTTCAACATCACAGGTATGATGAAACTGGTATGGAGAGTTATGGCAAACCAATATCACGGTTTTTTATGCATAGGTACTTCAAAAACCCATTTGTTTCGAGGGTCAAAAGGAAAAGCTGCTCTTATGCATGGAAAGGTATTCAGATGGGACTATCTTATCTACACCATAATGTTAGGTGGATCATTGGGGATGACCAGACAATAGATTTTTGGGCGGATCCTTGGATTTTAGAGAATTCTATTTGGGAGTCTTATGGTGACCAGGTTCATAATGATCTTGGAGTTTTTGCTAAACCTAAGGCAGCTGATTATTTGCAGTGTTCTCCTCAGTCATGGAGGCTTCCTTCTCCTTCTTCTGGTTCTCTTGTTAGAATTTGGAAGGAGGTTGACGCATTTGTAATTCCTTTACAGCCACAGCGAGATTTCTTGGTGTGGACCCATTCTTCTAATGGATTATTCTCTTTCAAGGAGGCGTGGAATTTTTTCGACATAGGGGTTCCATTCAGCCAATCTTCAAGGATTTGTGGTCCTCAAAGTGTCATCCCAGGGCCAAATGGTTTATTTGGCTGGCTATTTACCATCGACTTCCTACCTTTTCTCTTCTTCAGCAAAGAGAGATCTCAACAGATTTTGTGTGCCCCTTTTGTCACTCTAATGATGAGTATCTGCCACCTTCTTTTCCATGGTATTTTTTCACGGGGTATTTGGAGATTAGTTGCCTTAAGATGCAGCAAAAGACTTATTTCAGACTCATCCATTGCAACCATGCTCAAGAAATGGATTGCCTTTAGATTCAAATCAAAAGGTCTGTTGAATGTTTAGCTATCTCATTTCTTCACCACAGTTTGGATGTTATGGGAAGAACGAAACCATCGAGTTTTTCAAGGGAAGATATCCAGATGAGAACACTTGCTTAGGAGAATCACCTCTCATGTCAAAGAAATGGCGAATGCTAAAGCCTCGACCTTCCACTTATCAAAGAGAACAATCGTAAAAAACTTCCAGATTACATGGCGCCAGCAAAAAGTCAGACAACCCGTTCCGGTTGCATGGTCTTTTCCTCATTCAAATCACTTTAAGTTAAATGTTAATAGGGCTTCATTCCAGAACCCTGGGCTTGCAAGTGGTAGAGGCATAATTAGAAGTGATGACGGCTCCTTTGTTGCTGCATTTGCCAATCCCTTTGGTATAACATCAAATAATGTTGCAGAGTATCATGTCTTGCAAGCAAGGGTGCACCTAGCCTTCGAGCTTAATTGTTTTCCCTTACAGATCAAGAGTGATTCATCATTGTTAGTTAATATAATCAATAACCAATGCAAAGCTCCATGGGCGCTCAATATTGTTGCTGCTAATTGCCAATACAAGCTCTCAGACCGTACTTAGTCCCTAGTCCACATTTACCGTGAGACCAATATGGTGGCTGATACACTCGCTAAGAAAGCCACAGCTTTGTTAGATGCCACTATTTGGTAATCTAGTCCGCCTGATTGGCGATCTAGTCCGCCTGATTTTCTTTCTCTACTCTAGGGTTGTAACTTTATGAGTTGCATTTTCTCTTTTATTATTAATGAAAAATTGGGTAGGGGGCCTTCTCCCCCATTGACTTACCCAAAAAAAAAAAAAAATTCAAAAAAATCTAGAAAAAGAGAAAAATATAAAAATAGGGCATGTGACAAAAAACACTCACAAATCATCGTCAAAAAATCCAAATTACATATAAAATATCTAGACATAGATTTCACAATTTAATATAATTACCCTGAGTTTTACCCGAATACTCGGCTGCACAAAGGGCTGACTCTGTGTGGACTCACCCGCGTTTTCAATCACTGATATAAAGGCAAATAAACCTACAAAATCCACTGCCTTCATTCAAACAAACCCAACAACTATTCATAGTCTCCAGTGGATGTTCCTACTTTCACAAATATGGAAGCAGCTGAAAATTTCCTATTTTCTCAGAAAAAATTGCCATCGTGCATCCAAGAACTGATCCTCATTTCCGGAAAATTAAAAGAGAATATCCCCTATGCTTTCCTTAACAGCTTATAAATTTATATGACCATCCTATATAATACAGATATACCATCCTGCCTAAACATGTTGAGCCATTTCCATAAATTGGAAACAAATGAAAAAGGAAAGACAAAACTCCACATATAAAGGGGAAAAACAATCCACATCTAAAGAAAATAAATACGATAGTATGACCTGGTCCCTGATCAATTAAATCTAACACAAAAGTATCTATGAGAAATAAGATTCAAAATTACTTTCTTGAATTTCACAACCAACTAATAAAAAACCTATCACCATTAAATTGTCAAAAAATTCATCCAAAATATGGGTAGACTCAAAATACAAAACCATGACAAGTTCAGACCAACAGTTTTCAAATTCAGGTTCTAAATTCAATAGGTCCCTCTGTATTGAGGTTATATCATGTAAAGAAAACTATTTCTAGAATGAACAATTCAATTAAGGGAAATTGGACAGACACCACATAAGAAGAAGAATACCCCAAAACTTGACGGGAATTTATAAGGTTAAATAGTGAATCAAAGCAAGAGAGGGAGAAGTCTCACATAGTTTCCGAAGAAGAAGGCCCTAGCAGTGGCAACTGCAGCAATGCCTCCGAAAATTAGCAAGGGCCCTGTGGCCAAACTCCAGCTCCGCATTATCATCTTCGCTCCCGACTCTCTCTCTCTTTCAAAACCCTCTCTCTCTCACGATCTCTCCGATCTCGATTGTCAGGCGTCGAGTGAGACTAACTCAGCCAGGCCTAGCTATGGTTAAAAGTAGGGTAAATTGGAATAGATCACTAATTCTGCGTCGTATTTAATTGTAGATCCCATTCTATTTTTCTTATAAAGGCCATAAAAAAAAACCACAAAAGTATTTCATCGTACCCAATTCTCTTTTACCTTTTGATTATAAAAACTAGTTCTAATAAATTATTTACTTTTTTTTCAATTCAAAAGCTTTTATAAAAAATATAAAATATGATTAAAAGAAATTTTAAATTAAGATAGAATAAAATAATTTATTAAGATTAGTTTTTATTGCCAAAAGTGAATAAACATAGGAGAGAAGAAATGAAAAGGTACGGCAAAATACTCAAGGTTTTTTTATGCCGCTTGAAAAGAAAATAAGATGAAGGTCTACCGTAAAATAAGATGGATAATTAGATGCCTATAGAATATTTTTCCTTAAAATTACCCAAAAAGTTCTTGTATGTTTTTCGAAAAAAATTTATATAAAGTTGCATCCTTAAATGTAGATTAACATATGCATCTCAAAAATCACATGTTGTTTTAATGTCGAAAAACCCTCTAATTGATCGAATAATGTTGTTTTAATGTTGAAAAAACCGCTAATTAATCATCTTGTTTTAAAACTAGTCTCAGAAATAGTGCATCTTGCAATAAATTATTGAGACCATCCATTTTCAAGATTTTCATATATGTAAGGATCTATTTGATTTTAATCATTTTTGGAGCTAAAATTTTATAATTAGATATGAAAATAGATTTTTAGATGATCCTAAGAATTTTTTATAGTTTGATCAAATTTGGAGGTGTGTTTTAAATAGATCATTTAAAGTTTCAACCTTATAGAAACCTCACCCATATTTTTTATATAAATATAAGGCTGGGTTTTTATGAGCCAGCTGACTCACATGTACGCATACGTCCCCTCTCTAACATTTACCTTGAGGAAAAAGTTTATATAAGGATGCTACAGAACTACGGATGCCCCTCAAAAATCTATCAGAAAAAGTAGTTTTAATGTTGAAAAACCTTTTGATTGATCATCTCGACATCGAGATGTATGACTATGAAAAATAAAAAGATTTTAAGTCTCAGAAATAGTGCATCTACACCATCCATTTTCAATATTTTCATATGTTTATAGATCTACTTGATTTTAACTATTTTTGAAATTTAAAATTTTATAATTAGATATAAAAATAGATTTTGAGATAATCTTAAGAACATTTTACATCAAAATTATATACCACGATAAAATTTGAAGGTGCACCTTACCTCTACACCTACGGATGCATCCGTATGGAACCTGCACCCTTACCTTAAATATGGATTTTTTATCTAATTTCTCAAGGATTCATTATCTAAGACAAGGTGATCATTGTATGAAAAAATAAAATGTTTAAAATTAAAAGTATGCCTTTTATGGGGTTTTACACCATCTATATCGTATTGTCGTCTAAGGTACTTTGCACAAAGATGGACATACATGGGTGAATGGGCTCTTGAGTTGGCCACTTAAAACTTTTTCCTAATAGACTTACTCCTCAAACTAATGATATTAAAAGAGATTTTGTCAAAATTTTAAATTCTACTTTATTTTATGCCAAAAGATGTTCTACTCACAAATGAGTAGAATGCCTACTTACTCCCTCTGGTAAATCCCACTTAGAATTAATTTTACAACCCAAATTTAGAGGATGTAACCTCTTTAACCCATAGATTAACACCAATAAGAAAATTTTCTAGTTGTATCCTCTATGCATTTGAAAAATAATAATGTCTCAAGATCGAATGGTGATCATCCAATTTTTTGATAGTGAATTTAAGTGTTACAAAACTCAAATTTCAAATTTATTTTTTGAGAACAATCATGTAATAATTATTAATTGGCTTCCAAAATTTCAGATTGAAAAGATCCTTCAAAGTAGGTCTTCTGACTGTGGGAGTAGAAAAAAATTATACTCTTGAGGAAGCATAGTATACATGCTTTTATTTCATTTTTTATTCTGAAAATACCAACATATCTGAAATGACAACCATTTTACAATTCCAAATATTGAAGATTTCAATTTGGGCCTTCATATTATCATCATTATTATCAGAGTCTTTCCCAAATATTTGGGATCGGCTACACAAATCTTGTTCCATTATTCTGCACTATCAAAAATCATACTCTCAGTGAGGCTATAAGTCTCTTTTTTTTTTTATTCTTTTTAAGGTTTTCAATTGAACCGATTTGTACCTCCTAACAGGTGTTGTATTGGGTTTGCGTTATACATGGCCAGCCTATCTAAATCTACTTTATCTTTTCTTTTCTCCTATTAGAGCTACACTTAAGTTCTCCTGAAGGTATTCATTTCGAATTCTATATGTTCTTATCTTGCTATTTATCTATCTCAACATCATTGTTTCTTTTCTTTTTTTTAATATGTGGTAAGCCATCATATTTTTTTTTAATATATTGTTTATTGCCCGCACAACATTCCGCCTTATAAGAAGCAGAGCTGGTCTCACAGTTGTCATATAAAACTTCCCTTTTAGTTTCATTAGTATGTGTCGATCACCTAAAACTCTGGTTGCACATCTCCACTTTGTACACCCACCTCTAATTCTATGTGTGACATCTTCCTCGATCTCTCTAGTTTTTAGTTTTATCGATCAAAGATATCGAAAGTGTGCTCTTTTTGGTATTTCTTAACCGTCAATCTTAACTACTTACTCGTCTATATTCCTATTATTACTAAACTTGCATTCTATATACTTTATCTTAGCCCACCCAATTCTAAAATATTTAAATTCTTGAGTATCCCTCCAAAGTTCTGACTTCTCCTCAATCAAAATTATGTCATCCACGATCAATATGCACCATAGTACTTCATCTTGCAGGTGCCTAATTATGTCATTCATAACTAAGACAAAGAGGTATAAGCTCAATATGGACCCCTGATGTATACTTGTTGTCACTAAAAACTCACTCGTCTCTCCACTAGTTGTTCGCATACTAGTCAGGGCTCCCTCGTATACATCTTTCACCAAGTCGATATAGTATTAAGAGACTCATTTCCTTTTTAACATCAACCAAATTAAATATCGAGGTATTCTATCATGATCTTTTTCTATATCAATAAAAACCATGTGGAGATCTTTTTCCTTCACCCTAAATTTCTTAATAACTTGCCTAAGTAGGAAAATAGTCTCAATTGTTGACCTCCCTGGCATAAAACTAATTTGATTTTCTAATACACTCATTTTATGCCTTAGTTGTTGCTCAATCACTCTCTCGCATAGCTTTATAATGTGGTCATAAGTTTGATCCCTAGATATTCGCACAATTTTGTATGTATCATTGTTATTGTAAATATGTACTACAATACTTTTTCTCGATTTGTTTGGCATTTTTTTGTTCTCAACACCTAGTTGAACAGCTTGGCCAACCAGCTAATATCGATATCTCCCATGCACTTCCACACATTTATCTAGATACCTTCTAGTCCTAAAGCATTTTCTATCTTCATCCTCTTTAGAGCTTCTTTCACTTTTAATATTCTTATCCTACAATGTATCTACGTCCTCTGCCATCTTCATGTCAACAATTCCTTCTACCGTTGTATTATTATTGTGTTCGTTATTTAATAATGTTTAAAATAAACTATTCATTTTTTGTGGACCTTTTCATCCTTCAACAAGGCCATTGGATCATCACTCTTAATGCATTTAAATGTGGTCTAGATCTACTTTTTCTCTCTTTTTTTCTAATTTGAATATATTTTTTCATATTTTTTTATTCTCAGTTTACTATATAAATTATCATGTGCTTGAAATTTAGCCTCCTTATAAAAAATCAAATTTGACACATTTGACTAAAGATTCTAATGCACATTTTATTTCTGGATCTTGATTTTACGAAGTTATGCCTCCATATATAAACTAAATGTGGCTTTGAATCTTCAATATCTTAAATCACATGTGATTTTATATATGGGGCCCTGACTTCGGATCTTCAAGGTCTAAAGTCATAGAAGAACATTGTCGCTTCAGATGAATTTGAGAAAAAATAAAAAGAAAGTTGACAGTAAGGGTAGAGCTATTGCCAGCCCTTCTTTTTAGATAGAAGCAAGCCCTCATGGGGTACAATAGAAAGCATAGCCCATGTTTCGCACCTTATTCTTTGCCATTAAACCGAAGGGAAGGGCTAAACGAAGCCCCGTCGGCTCACCGCTTCCGTTCAATGAAGGAGAGCAGAAGAGAGCCCTATATTGTAGATAGAATGGAACAACTGGTGTACAAGGGAGCAAGTAGGCCAGAAGGAGAATAGAGCCGATGTTCCCGCAAGGAAGAAGATCTTATGAAACTAGGCCCTATTCCCTAATAAAAAAGGGTATGCCCATAGAATAGAAAAATTTGGAGATCTCTTTAACAAAGTTAATTTGGGGGATATTAATGAAATTTCTCTTTATATTCACGCTCCAAGTCCTATTTTATATATTTTCTATTTTTAGGAAAGGTATACCAATGTTTTTCATATTAAAAGAGAACTCCCTATTTTTTTCACATTTTATGCCACGGTCCCTTTTTCCTTTTGTTAATTTTTTTCACCTCAAACGACCTTAATTGAGTATAGGGCCACATATAATACTTTTTCTTCCAAAACTCAGGTCCAACACTGAAGTCCCAGACTAAATCCTCTGCAATTGCAGAAGCCAATACTGTACTTGAGGTACTATGTCGACTTGAATGATAAAAAAAAGTGGTTTGCTACTTGAAATACATGCATGGAATTTTCCAATTTCTTTGTCGAACCAAATTTTGATAGAAAATTTTTTAGAAGTTGTCGAGTATGCTAGACTAGGGTTATTTTAGGAAAAATTCAAATTGATAAAAAAGGAGACTTGCACGTAAAATGTGAGTCAATGGGGATTACTCTTTAATTTCGAAAAAAAGGGACCTATAGGTTAAATTTCTTTCTTTTTTTTACTATACGATTGAAAACATAAAGATTTGAGCTGAAATATATATTTCTATATTTGTTTACTTTCAAAGTGAATGGTGGATTCAAAGT